GACTGAAGTGGAAATGTCTCTGCTTTCTTCACAAAGCCTACCTGATTTGTGATTTCCATGTTTTTTCAAGAGATTAATTGAACTGCATTGTTTGACTTTTCACTTTCAATTAACATCCCTTTACAAAGTGTTAACTCACAGAGCCTGGTTTGGCAGTTTTGTACTTAACAGGAAGGTTTTTACATGTCTATTTTGAAATAATTTAACTGAAAATGCCATAGGTATCAAATAACAACTGAAAGAAAGGAGTACCAAACTGTGCTTAAGTTTACTTCTATTAGAGTAGGATACCTGATCCAATTTGGCTAAGATAATTCATCTACCTTCCAACTATTTAGAAATATTTATGTGTTTCATATTTTTATTCTAGGGCATAGAAAATAAAAGTACATTAAAAAAATATAACTCCACTGTATCTAAAAGACCATTACAAAGGTAATTTCATCTGTGAAACTATGGACTTGTTCTAGTACCATTGTTTACATTACACGGTATGCTATACATCAAGACAATAAGACACGAGTTTTCTACAGGCAGATTATGATTGCTAAAGATGAGCTTTAGCTTAGTTCTGGGAATTTTTTTTTTTAAGAATTACTTATTGAGGGATCAGCAGATAGCATAATGGCTACATCTCTGTACTCCCACAGTCAACCACAGTTCAAGTCCTTGACCCTGTGACTTAAAACACCCCAAGTATATGCGCAGGAGAATGGAGGCAAATCCTGACAGGAGAATGGAGGCAAAGGGACTGCATCATGGGCATTTCGCCTAGAGGGGTAATTTCTTGCTTCCTGTCTCTTCATCTCTCTGTTTCTCCAGCAAGTCCACATGCCCTATACCAAAAATCTCTCAAAAAATAATTTATTTAATTTTATTTATTTTTATTATTACTTTTTAATTTGCTATAGAACACATGCTCACAAGTGAGAGAGGGAAAGTGAGAAAGCAAGCCACCAGATCTGGGGCTTGAACTGTGGTTGACTATGTGGGAGTACAATGCCTTAACCACCTCATAATGTGCTGGCCCCAGTTCTGGGAAATTTTATATGGAGATTGTTTCCCCACATGAATATACTTTATAAATAAGTAAAATGTTTGATAGAGTACTCATCAGTTAGAGGATAACAAGATTCTTCTATGACCACTAGTTTTATTCTAAAAATGTAAAATAAATGCATGAGTTTTGTCATTTATTCTTACCAGGATTAAACGCACATAACAACATGACTTAGGATTGGGACATGAAACTCTAAATCTTTAGTTCTTTTTATTGATTGTATGAGAATATCCTCCCACAATAGTGTTTGGGATTTATATCTTCTGATGGTTTAGCGTTATTACTTAGTGAAGTTGAAAGGTTGGTTATATTGTTGAAATGGTCTGTAAGTGATAGGCAAAGATCATGCTAATTCAAGTCTTCTGTGACCCATACCTTAGATCAGTTTAAATGGAGACTAGGCATTAATGAGGTCAAGTGAAACAATTTCTCTAGCTAACCTTTTTCATTTTTTACATTCCAGTATTAAAAATGGTTCAAAGTGGCATTTAATTGCCTTTAAATCTTCAGACTGTACAAGCTGAAATTCTAGAAAATTCTTACTTATATCTTGACCCTATTTTAAAAAGTATTATTCTCTCTGGAGATGTATAGGGTTAGATTGGCATTATCAGAATCCAAAACTAAGGAAAAGTTAAAGAATAGCCTGTCAGCAAAGTTGGAAGGAATCATTGTACATGGATTCTTTTGTCCTCTGGGGTGAATATATTGATACATGCTACCTTCTTTGATACTGAGACTTAAGAGCTACAAGACGAATAAAATAAGGAAATAACCCATTTATGGTAAAAAAAAAAAGTAATCAGTAGTTGCCAGTTTACAAACTGTGAAAAGATAACACATATACACTTATTTTTTCATATTCTGCAACTTTACATTCTTATACTCAGCACTTCCCTAAACCCCAGGGATAGCTCACAACATTGCACTATCAATATTCAAGAATAAAAATAATGCTTTAGCTCAAAGACATAATACCTTCTGTAAAGCCTTACCTCAAAATAATAAACAAAGAAACAGATTTCATCAATTGATATGATGATCAAAATGCTTTACAAATCTCTATTTCTCTTTTGGCATTTAAGAAAAGTATATTTAACATTTTAAAACCAAGAATAAAACTTTTAATATATAAAACTGTATTGGAGTAATACCTTTCTACAATAACTAAATTTAAAACCATGGAAGTGAAATATCAAAAGAAGAATGGCTAAGATTTGCCACTAGAAGAATCAGCAGTAAATGCTGAGGGAAAAATGAATCGTGTCAAGGTACTGATCACAGAGAGGTCATCATCTGAAAAGCTAGCAGTCAAGTTTCCAGAAAAAGAAATCATCCTAATCTTACAGTTATCACCCATATATGGCCATAGTTGCTTTGGAAATAACAAGGAAAGATTGTGCAATATGAATCCCTATCAGAGAGCTGTGGCAACAATATTCTGGGTCAAGCCAGCATACTCAATATGCTTCCCATCAAAATGGCACAGTGGCTATATGGTGCCCTATAAAACTGAGAAGCTAGAGTTGTGATTGTGAAAGCACTGCAGCTTAATAAACAATTCACCTTGTTTTTTATATTTCCCAGAATAAAGTAGATTAGGTTTCACAGAGCCTAACAAGAGTCCGTAGCCAGGAATAATGAGAGGGGAAAATGAAAGAAAAGGGGCATTATGAAAGAGAGAGAGAGAGAGAAAGAAAAAAGAGAGAACAAAAGAAACAGAGAAAAAAAAAGAAGAAAGAACTGGAGAGACTTTTACTAGAGAGTTAGCGTGAGGACCAGTAGAAAAATACTGTACATTTCTAGTCTTGCCATCAGCAACAATAGTAATCCCCACAGTCCACACAGTTTGTATTAAAGCTTCAAAGCAGGATAACTAAATCCTTTCACAAATTTTTGCAAAGCTCTGTCAGGGACAAC